ACACTAGGCTGCTAATGGGAATGCAGGGTGAAATGTCAAGAAGCTGTGTGTAAATCTTCCAGTAATCTGCCATGTCCAAGAGGAGCTGGGGGAAAGGGACAGATCTCTGGGAATATTGTAGGATTATCAAAGCTAGAGTTCTGCTAACTGGAGATCTCTCCATACAGAGTGGGTGGATCTGGAGTTTAAAAGAAGACACCAGAAATGAAAATCCCTGCCATTCTAAATGCACACCAAGGCAAGTAAGCCTAGGATAAAGCAATACATGAAGGATTTCTGGGCGATCAAGCTGCTTAGGCTAAAACGCTGAAAGAGTTTGGGTGAAGTGTACAGGCATGTACAGGTGTGTATATGGTGAGAATACTGCAGAGGACCCCATCCCCAAGGCTGGGGACCACTCTCCTCAACTAAGGCAACTTGCTGGCCCTGCATAAACCAGGGCGTTAATACTCATACCTTTGACCCCAGATGATCACTAGTCCTCACTACTAATGCTGGCAGAAGGTGTCAGTTTGGCCAAATTATACAAACAATCTTGTTCTTAAATTTTGTGTGTTTATTGCTCCTTCTCTCGAAATATTAAATGTTTCTCTAAACAAATAGTCTTGTTTGAAAACAAGCCAGTTCTTGCTAATTTTTTAAAAATTATATAGCTGGGTTGATTTATGTTTCTTGTTAGTGTAATAACCCATCTGTTAGGGGGGTGGGTCAGTTCATAAAATTATAAATCTGTGAGAGAAAAGGTCTTGACTCTTTTCCACGGTAAGCACTTATTTGGGTTGAAAAGTTCTTGTTTGTATGTGTGCGGAATCATTATTTGGTAGCAAAAAAGCAGTGTGTAGGAGTAATACTCTTGGTGTTAACACACCATTGTATCTTTTACTTTTTCATGTGCAAAGCAGTGTAGACCTGTCATACTGAGTGTCAGCAGAGTTCATGTACACACCTGGTTTTTTTCATGCATCTCTCCTCCCTGCCAAGTACAACAGTAAAGACACTACAAGAGTTTTTTTAATTGATTATTTACTAATACAAGTGTTTTTGTGAGGGGTCTGTCTTACAAGACTTGTTTGTATGCTTATGACCTTCTGACACCACAGTGAGATTTCAAATGAAGACAATGAATATGCATTACAAGTGTGTGATTGCTTGCATCATTATGAAATAGATAAAAAATTAGTTCACTGCAGTAGTTTTTATCTGAACTGATCAAAACATCTTCCAATGATTTTTCTAACAATATGTGATTGGAATAATAACTGCACATGTTGTTGTGTTCCATGCTGCAGCCCAAAGGCTTGTAAATACAAGCTGCTTATTTGCAAGTAGCTTCCAGATTTGCAATATGATTGCTATGGAAACCACACAATGAAAAGCTTATAACCATCTGTGTGGTTTGGTAGATTTTGCTGCATAGCTGAGCTGGTTTTGTTTACTGTTTCTGAAGTGTTGAATAGAATATATTAACCCACAAACTGGGATTATCCAAGGTAGAAACTAGTATTGTGCAATGACAATGTGTCACAAACTAGAAGACAGTAAAATACCTAATAATAATGGCATTAAATTAGAGTCTAATATAAAAAAATGGTTGTTAGTAGAGGAAACTGCTAAGTTTATGCACATTTATCATGGAGATACCACATTCCATTGGAGGAATGCGTTATTGAAGCCAAACTCTTATCCATTTTATAGTCAAGTAGTCTGATTTTTCTTCCCCTCCCCCCTTAAGAAAAAGAAATTGGAAGAAAAAAAATCAATGGATTAACATAAAAAGCCTCAGTAAGTGTAGAATTCATTGTTCACTTTTTAAATTTTGTGGATGGTAGAATCATCTCTGGTTGGGTGTTTTTTTCTTTTTTTTTTTCTTCGGACTGGAAATTGAATAAGTTATTTTCAACAGCTTTCATGGACTAAATGAAAAAACCTTCAACAAATATAGTTAGTTCCTTGTTGCATTGTCACAAAAATTTTGTAGGTTGTTTGCTATTAAAGTATCAGCAGAGTAGGGAACATAATCTGTATTTTAAGAGTTCTTTGGATCTACAGCTCTGGAAGAGTTCACTGGTTTGATTAGTGTAGATTAGTCTCATTTTGACATATTGAGAAGGTGAAAAGGATATTTTCTCACTGCAGTGTAGTAATGGTATGAAGAAGGGATACAGAGGATTAAAAATTGGACCAGATTATTTAGGGATGCATAGGTACTTATACGTAGTATCTTAAAAAAACCAGAAGGACTTCTACTGTAATTTTTAATTTAATTTTTCATCTTTTGACTCTATACCATGTTGCAACACAAACTTTAGTGTGTTGCATCAGACTGCAGCTGTAATTCCTGAGGTAATCGAGATTGCTGTGTTTAAAGGATACTTCCTGGACATAGTTACTGCTTCAGGACATAATACCAGAAAACATTAGAAAGAACCACAGGTTCTTTTTTACTACCCTAAGCCAAGTCTATTACAACTGCTCCGTGATCGTATTAGGAAGTAGGGTGGACCATTTGCACAGGTTTGGGCCAAGGACCTGAGTTTGTAGTGCATGTTTCAGAGGAGGCTTCCTATGGAGTCACTTCAGCCTGGTACCATGGACTGAATGCCCATTAGCAGCTGAAAGAGTACCTCTTTCAACCTCATTGCACCTGAGAGTTTGTCCTCTCTATGACAACTTTGTAGTGTAAAGCAGAGTGGAATAAGTGTGGATGGTTGGGGTCCAAACCCATATGTGAATATGGACAGTCTTTGTTTGAATTTAGGACCTTTTTGGTATTCAAAAAGCTTTGATTCAGATATTTCCACATTTCAGGTGTGGATCTGGTGAACTCTTGTTTCTAGGCAATACATTTTTCAGGGGAATGCATATATTCTAAATTTTTCCATGAAGCCACAATGCAATCTACATGTATTCAGCTGGACCTTATGAAAAAGTCTCTTCCAACCTCTGCTGCTGTTTTACTTCAGTTGAGATACTCTCTACTTAGTTAGTCCTCAGTTTAAGCTAGTCTGATGACCGTGACAAGTGATAGAGTTAAAATCCACAGTACATTCAACACATGAACTGATTTAGGTCCAAACATTCAGTAACATGTAATATCAACATTTATTTAATCAAAGTATAATATAATACAGTGTGTGTTGGATGAAGCTGAGATGTTCTGGGAAACGGGAGCAATCCTAGAAAATGTGACTGATACTGGGATGCTATTCCCTGTGAGTGGTGCAACCATGGTAGGGAAGCCACAGAATGACAGTGCCTTCTAGTGCTCTGGACAGCACATAGGGATGCATTTTTGCCATTTATGCTCCATTTGTGAGTTCTTAAAATAAACAAATGAGCATACTTGGAAATATGCAACAAGTGTTAATGCCAAGTAGGGGAATACATTTGAATGCAGTAAATAGTTTAGAGTGTTTTGTGAGTACTGCAGCTTCAGATTTCTCCTGTTCTATTGTTAGGGGTTTTTTTCTGGTTCCACCCCCCCCCTTTCCCCCATTGGCTTAAATAATAGTTTATATTCATCTTGACCAGACTTTTAACTAGTCAAGAGTCAGAGAGCAAAAACTCTTGCTGGCTTAGTAGGGTAGAATTTCAAAACTCTTTGTGGAGTGAATCTTATGATGTAACTGTAATATTTGTAGGACTGTGTATAGAGGTTAGCAGCAATTATGCATACTCATTCCAACAGGTCTACTCTCGTGCTTTAAACATCTGCTTTAATGTTTGCAAGAACAGTCTTGTGGATAGATTAAATTTTTACAAGGCTAAAAATCCTTTGAACTGTTCATGTAAAATTCACTCTTTGTCAAAGTATATGGGCAATTACATAAAAGTTGCACAATAAGGAACATTTTAAAAGCTGTGAGTTCTTTGTCTGTTGTCTGTCATTAGTAAAATATCAAAATTAGTTGCTGAAATATGTGCCTTAAAAAGAAGCATGACTATCTGTGTAAGATGTGATGAATGGCAAAGGCAAATAATTAAAATATATTAGAAGTCCAATTCTTGTTTGAGAAGTGGGTTTATCAATATACTATTGCCTCATTCATACAGCAGCCTTGTCAATTTTGATATACTGTAAATGCAAAGATAAATTTGTTTCTACTTCCTTATGAACCTAAAGACAGAATACAGCTAAAAACCTCATAGTTTTTTCCCTTTTTTGCCTCATCAACAGAATTGTTGACTGTGAAATGTGAGAAGCAGATCTGATGTCCCTGTACTGAATGGAGTGTGGATTTACTTAAGTGAGAGTCTGGGCATGAGAGAGTTTCCTGTCTGTGCTGGACAGGAAGTATGGAGCACATCTTTTGAAATTGCCTGTGGGGATTTCAGGGTGTTCCAAGCTTGCTAGCCAGAAAACATGCTTCAGAGCCAATCGCTGTCAGGCTTTCTCTTTTCTTGTCCTTTAGCTTGCAATAAGCTGTTTGATACAGTTTGGCTTGCTTAAAACCGTGGTCAAGCACAGTGGGCAGGAGCAGTGAAGGCATGGCATCTATAGTGGCTGTGTTCCCATCATGCAGGTGTCAAGCTAGTGTGTATGTAAGACAGTGCTGAAGGTGCGATGTCCTCTGCCTTCTCTGCATACTGCTCTTAACAACAGAGTTCTTTCATGGGCTGGGAATACTTTTTCAATCCTCGGTTTCATTTTCTTTATCCTGGCAAGAAGTGTATGTAGCAGAAGATGACCCTCATTCTAATTGTCTCAGAATGACTGAAAAACAGCAGAACTGCAGCTCTCTATGTGATTGCCCTCAGAGGAGAGTGAAAAGGGAAACAGATGTTCGTAATTGAGATTTTGAAAGAAAGCTCTTGGAGTGTTTGGATGGGTGGGGGAAAACACAGAAATAACAATGTTCCAACTTCTGTATAAATGTAAAATAGTAAACACAGTTTACAATCTGGAAATGTAGAGTGTGGCTTTCGGACTGATGGGGGCTGTAATTCCTGTCAGCTGAGGTGTCCCTTCGAAGTTTCATCTGCAGTTATGTGTTTTGCAGAAGAACGGGTTCCTTCAAAGGCTGAAGTGCCAAGAAAAGAGAGCCAGGAGGATGTTACCGCTGATTCAGGTAATTAAAACTTTTCCTCTCTATTTTGCTTATGCTCTTTATTTTTACCTTTATTTTCTTGTCTCTTCCATTTGCTGTTTTAAAATAATTTTTTTATAACTCTGTAAAGCTGTCTTTTTACCCGAGTATGTGATGGCAGCAAAACTGCTTAGCACCACTTAGGATGCATGAAAACCACTTGAGAAGGATTTATAAAGTAAGCCAATTTATACAAGGTATTCCTTCCTGAATTACTTTGTAATGACTCAATTAGCTTTCATTTCTGCACAAAGGAGATTTAGTTGCATAAATTAGCTTATCATCATTGAGGAAGTGTCACTGCTAAAGGACAGTTTATAGATACAACATGCAGTTGCTGTCAAACCTATAAGAATGTAATATAGACATCTGTGTATACTTTGTGCTTGAGCAGAACAGACTTCTGCCATTCAGAGACTAACAGGGGACAACAAGTTGCCCAAGGGACTGGCAATGTAGACGTCTCTGAAAAGGTCAACTTGACACAGGCTCTGACAATCGACCCAAAGCTCTGTCTTCTTTGATAAAAATCAGATAAACTTAAGACCACTAATTGATCTGCAGCCTGTTTAAATGTTGGCCATGCATATCTTCATTGCATATGATTACCACAGAAAGCAAATGAATTGGGTAAGAAATGCCAGAGTCCAGTGACAGCAGCATGAAAATTGGAAAAGGACAGAAATGCCCAGAAAGGCTGTGAAGGATATTCTCTCAGCTTTAGCTTGGCAAACTGCCCTTGTGCTAATTATCTCTGGGACTGGAAAAATAACTGCATACACCATGTAAAGTCATATGGCCAGACAACTTTTCTTGACAGAAAGGTATTTCCAGTTATGCTTAAAAACAAGATATATTTGTGTTTTAAGGGTGCAGACCTTTAGATAAACTACTGGTGATTTGACACAGCAAGTAAAGAAGGCTGCTCCTTATCAGACCTTACACCTTTTTGAGATCTGCTGCATTGTAACTGTGACCTGCACTGACATGCAATCTGGCTCTCCTTCCCCCATCGTACATAATACACATAATTCTTTCAGGGCTGTCAAGGAAGGGGTGGGCAAGAAGAGTTCCTTTAGGAAGTAGCTCTGCAGTGCTCTTCCTGTTGCAACATGTGGAGAGGAAACAGAGGCCCGATTTCCTGACCCATACAGGAAAGCAGGAACAGGTTGCTGTGAGGAGTTTTGGGTTGCTTTTCTTGGAAAGGAAACAAGAGCCAAGTCATCAGATGCTGTTAGCATTGTGCTCTGCTAAAAACATGTGTAAAACAACATGACTCATTACAGCCTTAATATTTAGTACTCATTTAGACATTACTGTAATTATAAGAGTGTGTTGTCATAATGGAGCGTGGGGTCAATCCAATTATAAAGTTGCCAACAGCATTGGTTTTTTTCACTAATGTATCTTCCTGAAGTTCTAATTGGTCATACTTTTAAGAAATCAAAATCTTAGTATCTAGAGTTTTGAAAAGTTTTAACTGCTATGAGAACAGCCCTATCAATCTTCCTAGTATTTGTGTAATGTCTTTGAAAATACTAGAGCAGTTCCCCCACAGATATCAGATTCATTCCAAGCAATAACTTTCTCATTTGATCTTACATATTTCACTATTTAATACTGGTAATTTGTTTGACTTCAGGGCTGAGTTGACATGAGTATTTCTGATGGCCATCACATCATAAGTATCTGACTTGACTCAAGATTATTTTGTGATTGTCCACACAAACAGTGCATACATTCTTAAATTTAATTTATTGCCTAGCTTTACTAAACCTGAACTTCACAGAAAATATTCTGTAAATTGTCTGTGAGCTCAGGCTGATAAGTGCAAAAAAGGTTTCTTTTTTTCCTACTCTTTTCTTGTCCTAACATCTTTCTGCTTCAATTAACTTGCAGACTTGAGTTCTTCTTATTCCGTCGGTCTTGATGCAGACTGTTGCTGCTGGATAGCTTTACATTAATTGCTAGTGACCTAATTATTTAAAAATACCAAAGCATTGAAGAGTTTCAGTTATGGCTTGCTTGGTCTTTCTTGCTATGACTATCTACCCATTATCTTTTCCACAATCACTGTTTCAATAAGTGTCATGTTTTGTGCTGTATCAGTGTAAATATGTTGACTTCAGAGTAACTAAGGAGCAGTAAGAGAAAGATAATACTGAACAGTTTGGGCTAGATTAGAGTTTGAGTCCAAATAAATACACTATAATTATTTTTCCCTTATTTCCTAACTTTTCTGGCCTGTGGGAAAAGGGGAAATAAGGCATTTTTTGCAGTTTAGGACATCGTCAGAACTAACAAACACCAGTGTTCTGTAACAGGGTTTGGCTTGTCTGGGCATTGAGACTCAACACCAAGAGTCACTTATGTAAGATACTCATTCTGGTAGCATTAATTTTGAACTTCACCTGTATCTCCATCTTTAAGCCCTCATTATGGTAAATATTGAGCACCTCATTAATAAAAGGGGATACAGTTTGTATTTTTCAAATATTGTTAAGTAATCTTCAAATCTGATGCTATGAACTTTTGAAGAATCTTATTAATGAGTTGAAGAACATGAGTCAGAATGGCCAGCTGTTTAATATACTAGGCAGTGGACCATGGTTGTGAAAGGAAAGCATACATATGTATTCCTTCATTCTGCAAGTGATGCATAGGCAAATAATATAACTACTAGCTCTAAATCACTACCATAGTAGGGTTTGCTAACTTAGATGCCATCAGTGTTGAAATGGAAGACTAATGGAAATCAGACCCAATCACATTTATTCTAATATTTTAGGTAGTGCATTTTCATATTTTTCATATTTTTTCCTCCCCATGTCTTTTGTGGTTTTTAGAATGTTATTATAATTTTTTCCCCTTAAGTAATCCATGGGCATTCTTAAGTTTTAAACAGTAATATTTGTGGTGCATGCTTGAGTGATATATTTGTCAGATTTTTTTTTTTTTTACCTGAACTGTTCACCTTTCTTTCTTCAAGGGTGTGTTGTCAGATGCCAGCGTTTTTCAGTGAAATAAGCAGTCTGAGACTACTGTCAAAGAGACTGGCAGACATTGCCTGTTGATCTGTCAAACTCTGAAGTGTTTTCATCAGTATATTGGACAAAAATATCTATTGTTCCTATTACTGTTACTGGAAAGACAGAGATGGCAGAAGAAAACCATGAGGAATTCTTTTTGGAAGAGTATTGGAAACTGTTGGATAGTAGTTCATCCAGATAGCTGTCCTAGAATAAAAGAAGTATTTTCTGAAGAAAAAACCTATCCAAAATCTTGCTCACCCATTTCTTGTCATTGGTAATCTTAAAAGCAATGGGTAGGTAAATACAAACTGCTTTCTGCCCTCTGCCACACACTTAACTTTTTTTTAATCGTGTGTTATTCGTATTTGTGGCCTAAGTGACCATAACTTTAAAATATGACAGACTTTAGTTTAGTGATTATGTCATCATAGTATTTTTAAGGCACGTGACATTTCATAGTATATGAGATTAGAGTGTGATTGTGACAGAGTAATGCCAGAAAATCAATACCTTTTGAATTTGAACTCTAATGAGCACGTAAGTTCTTGATGCTAAATACATCTGTTTTCAGGTATTACATGTGTTTAAGAAGCTCCGCATTATTTCCTTACCATATAAATAACAAATTCCTTTACACAGGCCCCCTGGTTTTGTTATATACCACTCTTCAGAGGCAATAAAATGACATTTGTCAGGGTCTTCTCAAGCTGAGAGAGGGACTGAAGTAAGAAAGAATGGGCTTCTGTTTTGCAGAGGTTTTTTTGCAAATTTTTTTTATTCTACCCCTGTGTTTGTGAGGTAATTGGCATTGAAGCTGTAAATTCAAGGTTGTGAATATTTAGCCTTATGACAGTATTGCCATCCAAATAAAATAGCACAGAACACAGACTGAAACGGAGAAATAGAAAACAAGCTCTTCTTGCTCATACGGAGCATATTAAAGTTCAAATCTAAGTATTTGCCAAAATAGGGAAGAGCACAAGTTGAATGCTGCTATTTTTTTTATAGCATGACGCTTTTTATCACTTGATACTTGATATTTTAACAGGATTTTTTCGGTAATAAAACGAACCAATCATGATTAAATTGTAAACTATAAATAATGGTGTAGAGTGCTAACGACATGCAAATGTAACTGGTATATGTTGGAATAACCAGCAAGCCTGCTGTTCAAGGATCATATAACAAAACTAAGATGACAGCCTTGATCCAACCAGTTCAGTGATATTTATGTTATCAGAATTAGAAGATAGCTTTCCAGTGATGTAAATTATTAGTACATATACATTCTGTCTGGTTAGTGTATACATAATGTAACTGGTCATCTTAGTGGTATTGCTTACATTCTTTTTGCATTAACTCAACACACTCCATTCTCATGGAATTAAAAACAGGAAATAGTTTGCAGTGTAACAGAAGCACCCAGTGTATTTAACTGTGTGTGAGTACTGTGTTTCAGTAGATGTGCTCTGTATTGTAAATGTATGACAAAGCATTTATTACTGTGTTATTGCCGTATTACAGAGCAAAGAGTGCTAAATAATCAATCAGTTAATGGTCTGTATGGCAGCTTGAACACAGCACATCCATTGTGCTTATGCTGTTAGAAGGATGAGTTTATGACTGTAGTGTAGTTGCATGTTTAGCCAGAGCTTAATGTCCTAAACTGGAGCTGACACAAATATTTTTGAAATGCAACTTCAGCAACAGTTTCCAAGCTCTCTAATATTTCAGAAGGAACAATCAAAGATTATCTCAAAGGTTCTCAGAGAAGCTCTTTAATTTTGTTGGAACAGGAGAGGAGGGGGAGCGTATCACAAAATACTTACTTTGGCTTCCTTTCACAGATTATTATTAATTATGTTCTAAGAATTTAATCAGTTTCAAGTTGAGATACATATATGGCTTGCTAGAAATGTACGTGTGGAGGAAAACTAGGTGCTTTAAGTTGCAGCTGGAAAATGCTTTGAAAACCTGTAGCTACATGTCTCTCAGTGATGCAACTTGCCAGTGAAGGGCTTGCACATTAAACTTGTTTTCTACTTGCTTTTGTGGTATGAGGGAGATGTTTCAAAAAAAAAAAGGAATAAGAAGTGTGTGTTAATGGATTGCATTGTACTATCTGGAGATTTAAAGTGTAACTTTAGTCCCTCAGCCTTTATCCTTTTCTAATTAGATGCTGTTTTCTTTGCAGATAGCGAAAATATCGATTATGCCAATTTCTATCTAGGTTTGTGGGACTGCACAGCAGATGTACCTGATGAGTTGACATTTAAACGAGGTGACGTTATCTACATTCTCAGCAAGGTATGAGGTACTACTGGGGGCTACACAGTTGTAAAAAGAGAGAGACATTCCCACAGTTCTATGGGGGGAAATTGGCACTCCCTTTCAGATCCTTTGTTTGCAACCAGATATTCACTGCAATTAATTATTTTGTCAAATGAACTATAACCACATTTAAAACATAGCCATGTAACAGGAATTAACTTAAAAGCATGTTTATTTACTTGTTAAATCTTGGCTACCATTTGTTAACTGATTTAACAGGAGACAATGTGCTTTCTGCTTGCAAAAGTTAACCTTGTAGAATTTTAAGTTATCTTGTATGTTATGTTTTTTGTTTCCTGTTTTATATTCCTGACTGTGCTAATTCTGCCTTTTTTGGGATCTTGCTACAGAAGATGTGTTTTTTTGAACTATGCTTTCATCTTTGTATGTATATTGTAATTGTTCTCACAGCTCAGATTCCAAATTTTTTTCACTCTGACAGATTTGGGCAATTTTAATTGCAAACTTTCCTGTTTGCAAAGCAAATGAGAAATATAATTCCTTTAATCTGAATTGATGCTAAGCATGAAATATAAGCATGAAGTATAAGCATGAAATTTTATTCTACATTAATGTTGGTTAATTTTCTTATTTTTCCTTAACCTCTCTAACAAAAACAAAACCTCTCTTAAAATATATATCTCGTGGTCCATTGAAGTCTACTTCTGAACAATTAATCAAAGGAAATTTCTGTTCCCCACATATTAGAAAAAAAGCTGAGCTTTTAAAGATCTCACTGAAAAAAACCTACCTTTAAAAATATATATGTAGAATACAGATCTACTTGCCATTCAGGGTAATTAGTGCCAAAAATATTGTAGGTCATTTAAATATACAAGTAGGTGCATGAAAGCTAAAGACTTAGTTTGTCTTAGTTTCAAACTCTTAAGTTTTGTCACAATTGCTTTAAATCTTCTGTGATACCTTTAAGGATGTTTCCGGATAATAAATGTGACAGCTTCTGTTTTAAATAAATTTAGGATTTATGGATAGAAGGATAGTCCTATATAAAAATATAGAAGATATATTACTAATAGTAATTTGACCATGTATGTCTTTTGAGGTATTTCATCATCACTTAAGCTAATAACTGAATTGCATTACTAAAGGCTGAATAACGCTCTTGGATTGGGCAAACTTTCAAGCAGTTATTTAGCACTAAAGAATTGTACTAATTTAAAATAACCACTTCTTCCCTCTCTTCCTCCCCCCAAAAAGCCCATGAGCGAATGGATTCCACTGCATGGGTTTGGCCTCTTTGTGGGTTGTGCTCTCTGGGTACAGTATGGAGACTATAAAATCTTAATCTTCAGCTTGTAGGTGAAAAAAATTGTTTGCTACTCCTTCCCAAAAAAAGTGAGAAATTTAATTTTAAAAATGGAGCAGAATAAAAAAACAGTAGCTTAAGCTGTCGCGTGTATATCAACTGACTTGTTGCCGTGCCATGATTAATTCGTAATCGGTCCTTGAAACAGGCTTGCTGCTGCTCCAGATATATAGATTCTCTCTCTCTGGGATTGATTTCTACTCCAAAATATAGCCCAGAAAATTTGGCCCTGTTTCGCTTAAAGATTGTTACAGCTTTTTTGGAAAAATGAGTGTTGGCCACTACTGTCAGCTCAGAATTTAGGGTCTTTGGAGGGCAAAGTGCCAGAGAATTATCCATCTTAACCTTCCACTTGATTCAGTTTCAAGGTCTGATCATTTATGAGCTCTTTGTTTGGTAAGTGAAAATACAACCAAAGAAAAAGTGAGCCTAACCATCCTGAAGTGGGTCAACACTTTTCTTTAAAAATATTTCCTAATCCACCACATTAATACTTGGATTTTGTGGCAGTCGGCAGACATCCTAGGCAATTCTTTTATTTTTTTACACCATCTAGTGGTTGAAAATGAGAGATGCAGGTACTGACAGAGGGTTATGTGTCTGGATCCAAAATGGTGTCATAAATTCAGCTTCAGCTGAACCTAGCCATGGCTTTATTGCCTTTCTATCATATGTCAGCCAGGTATGAACATTGCTCTTGAAAATCACTTTTTGCTGATAAGGAAGTAAGTACAGGTATAGTAGTGTTACAGTAGGAAGCATTAACAAAATATCGAGCATATTTGTGCAACATGTAATAGTTCTTTGTTTTACAGTGAAATATAAATGGTGTAGCCTGCTCTGATGAATGTGGTAAGATAGATATTCATCTCTCCCAGAAATAGTTATGCCAAAGTAATATATTTTTACCAGCTTTTCACGTAGCTTTACAGAAATTAGGGGAAAAGTGACTATTTTGTTTCCAAGAAGAGAGATCATTATTACAACAGAAATAATTATGAATCGGTTTAGCAAATTTGGGCACTTATAGAATTTAAATAAAGGAAGAGGAGCAATATACTACATGTAAGTTTCTAGGTAAACGCCTTTTAGAAAAATGAGCCGCGTTTCAATTTGGCAGCGCTTGCTTCTTAAAATAGCTATTATGCAAAGACAAGTCTCCCATAATTTGCTTTAAACTGAGCATCAAAAATTCAATGTTAGTTCAATGAGCATGAGCTCATATTCTGACAACTGAGATACCTGTGCCCGACTAGTGTAATTACTGTAGAAAAGCATGTTTTTCTTGTTTTTAAGGTGCATTCAAAAACTACCTTTTTTTTACAAAAAAAACCCCCAAATCAACAAAAACAAACAAAAAACTCCTCCAACTTTGATCTAGATTTTTCTGCCTTTGAGAGTTTCCCTCAAAAGTTGTGTTTTTAATCTGAGCAGAATTAACAGAACTATCTCAATACTACTGGTTAACTTTTCTTTATTTAAAAAAGTAGTTAACTTCTCAGATTAATTGATCAATGTATCTGTACAGATATACTATTATTATTAATTTATAGTATTCTTGAATATTCAAGTGTCTTTTATCACTTATGCTATGAATGATGTGAACTTTCAGAAAACTATATACCCCTATTCCATTATGCAGCAAAAAAATATTTTATAGTTCTAATGATAAAGGGACTCTTTAATAACATTTTTTAGTTAATATTGACTATTAGAAATGTAACACTTTGGAGTCATGTTTGCTAAAAGGATGATTGCTCTTAACTCCTGCTCAATTATGGGCTTGCCTTCGCTTTCAAGCCTATGTGATAAATGGGAAAACAGACCATGATACAAAAATCATTTTTATAAATCTTCCATAGCTCTACTCAAGAAATCAATTTCCAGAAACAAAGATAACTGTGAATGGAGGTAGCTCGATTTTTTTTCCCTAAGTTTCGTATGCACAATTTATGCAAGTGCAGCACTAGCAGTAATAGTTTGTTTGCTTTAGGTGTGTGTTTTGTGTTGTGAAATTCCACAGTTACATTGGCCAAAAGCAAGTAATAATAAAAATTTACCTAGACATTAGCAGGCACCTGCTTAGTAGAATTACAGACATTTCTTTACTTTAAAGCTAATTTAATATCCAATAGCAAATAATTTTAAAATCAAAAATTATATCTCAAACTGGAGTTCTCCTTACCTGTTGTTATTTCATTACATGCCAGAGCAGTTCAGTCTGATATTTATGAGTCATGGAAATCTCATCTGTGACAACCTTTTGCTCTAGAATTTTTTATGAAAGTAGAGCATTAACTTGGTGTTTAGATTACCCTTTATTCAGAGATTGTAGGTTTCCAGCATGGCAGATTTTTGTTCTTTCAATACAATAAATGTCTGTTAAAATGCTCACATCTCAACTGTATTTTTTACTTATTGAAAAGACAAAGAATCTCCATAGCTCAGGTTACTGCTTATGAAATAAAGTGCAACTTAACAATGCAGCTGTTTCAGAATCACTGTGAGCATTTTGTACACTATCTGTATAATCTTAATCAAATGTATTTATTCAGTATTTTTTCAAAAAGATATCAAAGGCATACTAAAATTCTGAGCGGTTCTTTAGTCAGGCTGCTTTCCGGCTGAGCATACTGAGGTCGGTATTTAAGAATAATTTCTGTTCTCATGACCATACTGCCCATGACTCCCCTAGCAAATGGGGAGTACCAATAGAAGCAGATTTGCAGAGTGAAACACTAGTGCTTGAGGCCCCGGTGTCCACACCATGCTTTCTGAAAGCTGCCTGATGTCTGAAGAGGTCTAGCGTGGTTTTGTGGAATGAGAACAAATTAGTGGTTAAAGTACATTCAAGTGTATCTTCCGTTTTAATTTCATCTTAAATAAATGTAGTGTGTGTGCTCTGCAAAGTTAGCCAATGTGGGGAAAATGGGAGCATTGGGAGATTCACTTAAGTGGGATGCTTCTGATCAAAACTAAAATGCTACACCGAAGTTGTACATTACCCTTTTTCTGGCTTGTTTAGGTATATTCCTCATGGGAGAGGAGGTGAATAAATACATGTCTAAACACAAGATAAAAGTGAAGACCTTTAGATAGAAGGTTAGTTAAGACTAATGCAAAGTGGCTCTAGGTCTGCTGGATTGCATACTGATAATATTTAAGCCTTTACCTACCTGATTAGAAAAAAATTTGGCCTTGTGTCATCTAATGGAAAATAAAATGGCCTTTTTATTGTTCCAGGATGTTTTCTGGGGACACTTTTGGTTCAGAATTCAGTCTGTTTACCATGATTTATATTGGAAATCTTTAATTGGTGTCTATTTTATCTCATGTTATTGTGGGAAATAAAACCTAATAATGCAACCATACAATAAATCTGAGGCTTATATTTTTAAAGATGACCATTTTATTGCTGTCTTAAAACAACTGTACTACCTGTGAAGAAGTCTCATTCACTTATCTAAAGCATTTGTCATTCTCTGCTTTTTAGAGAAAATGCTGTTCTGTGCCAAAACTGCTCCCTGGTTGATAGTGTATCATTCAACAATTACACCAAAGGAAGTTCTAAAACTTTTTAGCTAGTATGAATCTCCTGGATGAATTAGAGATGTTTTAAAGTATTTTCTTGCCAAAATTGCCCCCCCAGGATATTCTTTGAAAAAAATTTATCTCTGCTTCCCACACATATTTAGCTTGACAGTAAAGGCTACTTATTTTAACCCCAAAGAAGGCTACAGATAAGTTTTGCTTTTCAGTTTTAAGGTTTGCAGATATTCTGCCTGTAAGTGAATATTACTCACAGTGCCACTAGAAGAGGGAAGGAGAAAAATGTTGAATTCACCCACTTCAGTTGTTTTTTTCTAAAAATACCACTGCATTGTTTTCTTCAAGGCATTGAAACACAATGATGATTTTCAGCAACTCTTTTTAAAAAACAAAACAAATAAAAAAACCCACTCCACAAACACGAAAAAACATACCATATGCATTTAAAAATGGGGACTAATTGCACAAGAGCCAGATGTTCTCAACTTTTGCTGAAGTTAGTAGAAGTTAATATGGTGCAAAGCATCTGGAGAACCTAATTTAGGCAGAGATCTGTTCTAAAGGTAGAGACTGTATTGGAAATTTTCTCTTTTTGCATGTCAGAATTGTCTTCTATAGAGGACTAAAATCTTGGATTTAAAGGATATCTATAGAAAACAGGTAGTGTGTTTCTAACTACTGTGTTTTCCCCAGTGCAAAAGCTTTTATGAGCAATGTCTCCTGGAGTCATGGGTACGTACACACCAGTGCAGTGAAATTGGTGGGATGGGGACCAGGAGAAGTGCCTACTCACAGTGTTCAGTTGAAAGCATTTAAAGAAACTGTAAACCCTGATGGGATTTTTCCCCCTGCTATCAAAGCATGCTGTACAGAGAATGTTTTGCCAGCATGTTAAGTCATAACCTGTTCCTTGCTGCCCTATGAAATTAGTTCACTTTGGTTAATAAATTTCTGCAAGGGAAAAAAAAATAAGGCACTCTAAGACAGTGGAAATGCAAAAATAGCTTAGAAAGCATTTGGTCATTTGGTAAGGTTGTTGTTTCATATTATTGGTTGTAATATATTCCATTGCCCTGGTGCTTGTCTTCCAGGGGTTGTGGTGGCCCCCTCCTCCCCCCAGCCCTGCTAACACATTGCCTGGTATGGCAAATGTGCTCCCCGTCACATGGCAGAGCGTGGCCGCACACTTGTGCATTCTCCTCATTGCATGGTGGCTGGATCTGGCCCTGCCCCCTCTCCTATCCCTCTATTTGCCTTGGAGCAATTCATTTTGCAGTTATTGAATTTCTTTGGAGAGTTATTTTCATACAGCGAGCATCACAGCACCTCTGGATCTTGATAGCGTTTCTACATAAGGAGAAAGAAGCTTTGTGTTAGTAATTACCTAACATTGTCAGGAGCTGACTGCAGGCCTCTTTCTAGTGATAACAGAATAACCACATAATGTAGCTTTATAGCACATGATTAATAGAAAATAATTACACATCCTACAAAGGGATGCAATATTTCTTATAAATTGACTACAATGGTTTCCTGTAGATTAAAGGACTCTTCATTATTTTATCAGTCCTTCTGAAGTATAGTTGCTTGCCTATGTTAGCAGTTAAGAGCTGAATGCAGTGAGGGATACCAGATGGTAAACCCAGTGGTACCTGAGATCTGAAGCTGATGCTTCCCAACTTTTATTCTTATGAAACTTCTAACTCCTACATATTAATGCTTCCGCATATTAATCATTATTTCCCACAAATGTCGACTGTAGACTTTTATTCTACACATCTTAACCAGCAATAATAGACGTATGGACCTCACAACAGCAGTGTATTAATTAAATTGTATTGCTGTGAGGGAGTTTATAATTGATAACATTGATAGAAGTAATACATCAATTTGCTTTTTATGTGTGACTTCAAGAAAGGACTAGGGGGCTACTTATCTGCCTCACTAGTTAAGCACTCTTGTGGTACTGAGGACAGGAAGGAGTGGTTAGGGGTTTAAAGAGAAATGTCTGTACTTTAATCAGTTTAAAAGGGAGTGCTATCTAATCATTCTAAAACCTGAGATTAAAGTTTTATGTTCTTGGTAGCCAGGTATCTGCATTGTATTTTTGTTCAGACTTGTATAGACAACAGATAGTTTAATTGGGATTCATGTTGCTCTTGAGACCTATGCAAAGAATAGTAATGTAAAGTAAAAGCTTCTGTATTGCAATATTGTCTGTATGGTATAATGGTTGGAGTGAATCCTTAAATTAGTTTACTAGTGTGTTACATCAACATTCATTTCATCTTCTCACTTAGCTTCATGCCAGAGCAGTAAGTGGTGTATTAGTAAGTAGCAAAAACCAGAAAGTTTTCAGAACAGCAGCATGCTTTTAATTTTAATTTGAGGTATCTGAATTGTTTCTTTAAAAACAATTGTTTCTAAGTTCATGTAGTGTTGCTAAGTGGAACATTTTCAATGGGTAATGTAATCCACAGACTTTTTCTGTGCCATTTGTCATATGCAGTTTAATGACCGCTTAACTGAGCCACTTCCCTCATTTCATGTATTGTTTGTTTTTTTGGCTGATGTCTAGCAAAACTTGCTTAATCACTCTTGTCAGTCACTTTGCGTATTCCATGTAGCAGCTTAAAATCTTTTGTTGCTTTCTCTTTGAGAGATTTATTGCTGAGATTCCAGTAGTATACGCGAGTGCCACTCCTTTCAGCAATTTCCCACTGCAGTCTTGAAATCCAGTTTGTATATTTAAACAGTGTATTGTGAGATAAAGCATAGATTTTTAAACAGTCTGATCTGGAACATTATAAACCTCAGTGTTAGGGTATTGTTTCGCCTTTAAGGATTTGGGGTGTAATGTGAAGCCCCATGGGAAAGGTTATGAGCAGTTCTTAACTTCTGTGGAGAGCAGTGTGCACTGAAGATCAGATTCAGATAGATACCTCTAGACTTTCAAGACCAGACCCATCCCCAGCATTGATCTGCAGTGGAAGGGAGAAGAAAGTGGAATTATTTTTGCAGCTTTCTCGTTTGCATGTTCACATCATAAATGAAGGTGTTCCTGCTGCTTTTTATGTGTGTTTCCTTTAAATCACACTTGCTGCAGTAGTTTATGGATAGCAGGATAGAATCTTTTAAATCACCAATTCACTGTTAAGAGAAGGAGGAAAATGTTTAATTTAAGACTAGTGTTTAGCCTTCCACAATTAGTGTGTGCGTGCCTGCATGCAAGCATTTTAAAAAAATGGCAAAAAAAAGAAAGGCAAAAAAAAAGCCAGGGCCCACATGAAGATGGGCCATCAGCGGAGCTTCAGTTAAAGCACAGGGAGAGCTGAGTACACTAAGCACATCATAGGACCCCTGAGAACTCTTGACCAGGCAAAATATGCCAGCAGCAAATCATTATAGCTCAGGCTCTAATGAAACTCCATTAACCCTTAAGCTCCACTTGACTATTTATAGCCAAAAAACTTTATCTACAGTCAAAATAATAGCTTTATCTCAGTAGGACCAGTAATTCAAAATCCTACAGCCTTTTATCTTCTCATCACAAGAACAGTGTAGTGGGAAGCAGACGCTGCTTATCAGAGATATCTGTGTATTTTGTATTTTTCATGTTTGTTCCAAAGTAATTTCTATCTTAGGAATCATTCCGTTTTCAGTGGGGTCTCTGTTTTAATAATACTTCATTTGTAAGTCAATATATGTGTGTGTGCAATTTCAGCTGTTAAAATTTATTGAACCACTGTTAGGATTGATTTTAAAATATTTATCTCATAGGAAAAAATTAAATTTGGATACCACAATACTCTTACTTGGTATTGCTTTTGGAAGATATTATTTCTTTAAACTATTATAATTCATTTTGTTTCATATTTATCTCACTAAGCCTAAACAAATTTCAAACAAAAGTACATTAGTCATCTGTCAGGCATATGAGATCTGCCATAGAATTTCTGCAAGCCTAAAGCAATAGTAGACTTTGTCCGTAGAAAGATTATGTATTAGATATGTAGTGTTCCCTTCACATTGAGCAAAGTAGTTTTTAAAATAAGTTGATTGTAAGTTTGAGTTTAGCCTTGTCATACTGAAAGAATCCCTGTTGATTCTTATATGTCAGTGTTGTGCTATTAGATTTTATTTACAAAGTTAAGGTTTTTGTATTTGTGATGAAGAGAGAATATTTTTAGTAGGTGTGAGAGAAGTGTGGCCATAATTAAGAAATTTTCCTGAGTATGCCTGGCCTTTTTAAAATTTAGCTTCTGCCTTTGCCTAACTCTGCATATGAATGCCTATAACAAAAAGATATAATGTTTTAATTTTGAGTTAAAATGGTTATAGCTGTATATAAGACAAAGCATCCATAAGGAGTTGCATACAAAACTCTATTGCATTTATATCAGACTAAAGGTTAATACTGCATATTGTTTTCAATTAGGAGTACGATGAATATGGCTGGTGGGTAGGAGAAATGAAGGGAACCGTTGGCTTGGTGCCTAAAGCCTACATAATGGAGATGTATGATATTTGAGAGGCCTGGGTAAGTACATTTTAATCCAATCTTCTGTAATGGCTTCTATGTTCCCTTGTTCTCTGTTTCATAAGTATGTCTTTCCTGGAACCTTTGTAGGAGTCCTGTTAACATAAAGATTATGGCAAAATATATTGAGGGTTCAATTAAAATACTTTTTTTCTGGGATTCTGTATGAAATATTAAACCACAGTGTACAAAGGATGATATATTTAATAACTGTGTTCCTTTTGCAGATTTTTTAAAAATAAAATTGGTGCTGTTTCTAGTTAGTTTTGTTACTTTAGTATTATGTATGTATCTCACTGTGCAGAAAACTGTGGAAGGGGATAGATACTTGGACTCGGTTTGATATGCATGTTTGAGGTTTTTTGGTTAAAGATGAACTTTCAACTTCCCTCTCCCTAATCAGGAGAAATCTGCACTTGAAATCAAGAGTGGTGTGCAGCTGCAGTTTACAGACCCAGCCTCTGAAGGAAGATTCTGCTGTACATGTTTTGTGGTTTCAGTGAATGTAGTCAGATCGTTGCCTTGTATATATTAAACATTATAAACTGTAATTGATCATAATTCTAAGGAAATGTTCCTCTTAGTCACTTTTTATAGAATTGTAATGATAGAAAATGAAATAGATGGTAATTAACATATGGGGCACAAGCAGCCATATAGTGCCTGTTGCTCCTTAACATGCTAGCAGTTTATATATAGCTATAGGTTTGTGTTCTTTCAGGGAATTTTCCTGTTCCTCAGATTTAGAAAAATTAAGCTGAACTTTGAGGGTAAACTATTACTCAGTTCATGCATGCATTAACCTTTTAATGCTCACTGTATATCTTGTGCAGTTTCACTGGAAAATCGAGGGAAATTTATGTGTAATATTGCAAGTCTTCAGGGTACTCTGTTTCCAAACGGTTTTTTATGTTAGGTTTTAGGCAATGATTTATTTTTCTCATACATTTAGTATTGTATTGTTAATTACTATTTTGTTGACACACAATTTTTGCTGATGTAATAATTTGGCCTGTGTGGATACCCTTCTGACTTGGAGATGGAATTCTATGAAAATTTGTGAAAATATATTCAACCCCATGATTTTTGCTAAGTCAACATGAGCTAATTTGCAGGTAAAACATTTTTGTCCATGGTAGAGTGAAATATTTTATCTGTACCTTACAGATACTTCTGCAGAGTCAAATCTGGAATTCTGATATAAGTTGTACAACAAATCTTCAGTGCTATGTGGATTAGTACCTGCAGTCTCGCTGTCAAATCCAGAACTTCGTGGCTGAAAACATCGGTTGAAACTTAAAAGTACGCAAAAATACTACCACTTATGGACAAGGTGTTGGGCAAGTCAGAGTTAATACTTTAAATACTCTCGTTTTGGAGCCGTGCTTTGCCATTAGCATGCAAGATCAACTTTTTTGAAGCTTCCCACACAGCTGATTTGTGAGACCCTTAATCTGCCAAGGAGGCTGGTCAGGCCAATCTGTGAGTTGCTGAGCCTGTGCAGGTCCCTGTGTAGTTGCTTGTGCTGTTTATGCTTCAGGCGGACCCTGGGAACAGTGTGGGTTAAAAGGTAACGTTAGTCTGAACTCAGAATTCGTATCCTTTCAGTAAACTGAGATGTTATGCTTTGTGTTAGGTAATGTATGGTCCTTGCTGGTACACTGGATTCTAATAGACGTCAAACAGGGTACGGAGTTTTGTTTCAATTTTTTAAAAAGAGATAGTCATTGAAATGGATTCTGTGCGTTATCAGCAAAGCATTAAAATGATAGATTATAGTCTTCAGATCTTTTACTACTTTAATTTGTCAAGCGTACCGGTGGATTGTGTACAGAATGTGAAGCGTTAATAGCAGGGCTGGAAACGCTCCTTCTCCCTTGTTAACATGGCAGCGCCATAAATCTGCCCACCGAAATGGCTTTTTATTAATTGCGTGATTCCGAATCCCTCCACCATCACCACCTACTTTTTTTTGGAATAAACCCCGTCCCCCCTCCCCCCATCTCCTTGAGACCAAATGCCTACGGACGAGACTTGACTCAGCGCGGGGCCGGCGCGGGGGTGCCGGTGCCGAGCCGGGGGCGGCCCCGGCCCGGGCCCTGCGCTGCGCGGCTGCGGCGCTGGGTGGCAGCAAATTTTCATGGGACGGGAGGAGGCGGAGGCGGATCCCGATCCCGTCCCTGTCCCCTTCCCCCTCCGTGCTGTCCCGCGCCGCTTCTGCCTTTTTTCCAGGAGAGGGAGTCCTTACCCAAGCGATGAGGGGCAGGGCTGCCCAGAGCGGCCTCTCCTGGGTGGTGGCAACCAAAGAAATCAAGTGGCTTTTGTGTGTAGTTCTGCTTTAGGGCTTCCCCGTCTTGGTACTTGGGGGAAAGGGGGAGGGGAAGTAAACAAACTACCTTAACATTCAAAACGTAAAAGATATCTGAAACTCAGTGGAAATGTCTTGGAATAACGTCTCGAATGAATGGTTTACTTTAAATCAGTGCAAATAACATAACCTTTTTTGGATAAGAAAATCTCTGTTAATACAACTTAAACAAAACTCGGAGGTAGAAAATGCTAATCGCATTATTTTCTTTGTTTGCTTAGGTTGTGCTTGCCTTTCCATGAACAGTGAGAGAGTGAATTTTATAAAAGGTGATTGTAACTCATATATTGTACAGCGTTTTACTTGATTATTTGCTCTGTTCTGGATTTGTACGATCCTGCCATTAGATCTTATAATAATGTTCTACTCTGCAAATTTTTAAGGTTCAAATAAAGTTTAATTGTTTGCAAACTGTTATGATGCTAATAATTCAACAGCCTGCTGTGTTACTAATGAAATTACTTTGTTATGATTAATTTGGAAAATAGTGTGTTGATTGTAGTAATTAAGCACAACAAGGTGAAGTAAATGATTCTAATGCCATCTGGCCTCCAGACTGAATGAAGAAATGAAATGGGGCTGTCATTTGAATTTATTCAGAGAAGTAAGGGTAATACAAATGCTTTCTATAGCAGAAGCACCCGGATATAACCATGCCACTCTTTAGTATTTTTTCATGTACTTCTGTAAATGGATAGCTGGTTTGCATATTTTTCCAGCATCTTGTTAGGATATACCTGTTTTTACATACTTTCACAAATTGCACATACTGATGGCAGTGTATGCACCGATTCTTCCATCAGAGAGATGTATGGATAAGATTTAGAGAAGTTACATGCCTTGGCTTACCTTTTGGTCCCCTATTAACGATAAAAACTTTCTGTAACTGGAATTAAGCTGAAAGTGAATGCTAATTAAGATCCCATTCTATATTCAAAGCCAAACGCATAAACGTCTTTCTTTTTTGGCTCTGCAGCCTGAGTATGACGCAGTATTAGAAGGCGCGTAAAGAATAACCCTTTAAAACATGATCCAAAGACTGTTGAAACTGAGAAGCTACTGAATTTGCTTGCTTCTGCATCAGGATCCCAGAACAGTAACTCAAAAACAGGCAATACAAGTTGAAAGTGCCTGTTGCTGAATACTCTTTGTCCTCTTTCTGAAAGAGATGCAATTATTTCTGTAAGCCAAACTAAACAAAAGAATGGCACTGACTTCTCTAAGCCAAATGATAGAAATCCATTTTTCTATCTCCGGTAAAGCAAAATGGAGTTGTGGGTATAGATCAGAGTCCTGACTTGATAAAGTTCAGTGGGACCTGTAGGAAAGCTGTAAAATATTAAAATGTGATGAAAGTACCCAGGTAGATGACAGTGGTGTGCTCTTCAGCTGCATGAGCCTTTTGATGTTTCTCTCATCTCTCTCCCTCAAGTTGATGAAAAATTTATTAGTATGTAACTGTGGGAATAAGCATGTGCATGGAAACCCTATAAACAACTTTACATAGCACAAAGTACTGATAAACTCCGTAAGACCTTCGCTTACCAGGGTTTCTCTGAAGCTGACATTTCTCAGAGAAGTGTCTACCTAATTCCATCTTTATTTTAAAAAACTGACACTGAGCTCAGCAAAGAGTGCTCTGTCAAATCTGCATCTCTGCTTTAGAGTTCATTTCCTTCCCAGCATCCAGTGTCTTACTGTGAGGGACCAGGACCAACCAACTTCACACTAGGAACTTAAAATCATGGATTCAAGCTGGGTGTAAGCAAAGGTATTTCATGCTTCTGGGATGAAATTGTGATTTGACTGGCCTTTCCTTGTTACAGGAAGAAGTCAAAAGGGCTGAGGTGGCAGGTTGTGCAGATCAAAGGGATGTACCTTTTCTCATCCAACTGTGTTGTGCCAAGGAATATATATATTTTCCCTTTAAATTGTAAAGCAGATCAGGCAGTGATAAGCCATGAATTGTTATATCATTATATATAATCTTTTACAAATTTGTTTAGGAGTGCTTTTGTAATGGGATCTAGACAATTCTGTTTCTTCTGTATGGAATTTTCCGTAGTCCAAACTCCCACACAGAGAAATTCATAGGGAGCTGAGTTCAAAGCAAAGTAGAGACAGAACCTCTGCACCTGAAAGCTATGCCAACATGAGTCAAATTTAAAACTGAAAACGTCAGTTTCTTCCCAGCCTTTTGGGAGGAACAAATCTTGTAATTAACAGGAAAAGCTTAAAAATCCAAGGTGTCATCTTGTAGCAGCGTGTGGGAGAATAAAGTACAACAGTGCAGGCAGTCTGAGAAGAGCTACTGGTAGATGAAGAGGCAGATAGTTTCAAATGCCGCTAAAAACCAATCTATCTCTATTAATTTTCTGCTCTAGCAAACTGATGTGTTGGAGCTTTTATCCTAAAGTATCCTCACTGGCTCAGAACCCATAGAACAAACTTCCTTTCACCCTCTATTGTAAAGCAAGTGCTACTCCATAAAGATATTTGATGGCTAATGAGCATTTTACAGCAAGACTTTAAAGTTTATGCTGTGAGATGAAAAAAAAATCCACATTCAGTTACAGTGGGAGGATTTATGTTGGCAGAAGAGAATTACCAGTTTGGCCACTTCCAGTCTGCCGTAATTGCTTGCATATTTGTAAATAGTGCTTTGGGATTTTTAGCGGCCACAGGCAATCAGGATTTCAGCTTTACACCTCATGGTACAAGACAGGTATGTAGCACCACAGAACTGACCCCCGTGCAGAACTGCCTGGTTTAAAGGAAAAAAAGTGCTGCACAGGATCATTATCAATCTTTCAAACGCCAGCAGCATGGACATGTGCCTTGGCAGTCTCCCACCCAAGAGCTGACATGGCCCAATGCTGCTTTTTAATAGTCAAATCTAATAGGGTCAGCATGAGAAAGACAGAGCACAGACAGTCTGACAGGCATGGGCAACTCAGTTTATTCATTGGTGGTCTTCAGCCTTTGAGACTTCTGAGTTCTGTTTGGAAGGGAAAAGATGAAATCTGTAAACAGTCACATGGCATCAGGAAAGCAGAGGGACCTTCTTCCTTTTCTGTCTCTTCTGTCTCACCGAGAGGACTGTCATACTTTCCTTATATTTAAATTAAAAGCAGTCAGGCATGAATGCACATGTATGTGTAGGAGGGAGTGGGGTTTATTATATCATCACTTACAATCATGTTTTGATGTTGGTTTCTCCTTTCTGAAAGGTGTTTATGTCGGCATGCTCATAATGGCCACACTACCATTACTATAGAAAAAAGGTATTTCTAGCTTTTAAAACCAGTTATTTCTAGTTGTTGGAAGGCTCTATTCTAATAACACCTGTTGTCCTACATTTCCCACCATCTTAGTGCATTGTGTCAGCTGTCTCTTATCAAAATCTCTGTGTCTTGTGACAGTAATTTTTGTTTGCCTGTACCAGTAAAATACTCCAGACTCCTGTTTTGGAACATCTTTTCCCCTTATTTTCAAGCTGATTTTGGACTTAGTTTTAAGGTATTAGACTGCAACGAAAGGGAGCAGGGTGGGTAATCTATGCATCTGGAATTCCATTACTTGACAAAAAAATAGGCAATACACTTTAGCAATTGTGAGAACTGTTTTGGAAGGTCTATAAACTAACCATCTTCTTATCCATTAATTTGTTTCTGCTTCTGAGACTCACACAGTATACTTAACCACTTCTAGACTGAGATTACCTATTCAGCTACTCACTGTCCTATGATAGCCACCCAAGGTCACCTATAGGTCATCATGGACTTGTGACCAGAATTGCCGCCCTCTAATGTATCTAGTACTGCTTTAAAGGCAGCAGTTGGGAAACAAACGTCTTCTCTCCTGGTCTTTGTAAATTTTCAGGTGAATGAAAGTTCAAAATGCAGAGGCATCATCCAGAATAATCTCT